CTGTGTGAGGCTACTAAAGGCAGTGCTATAACATGTTTCTGTCATCATTTTATTATAGATTAAGTGCAAGAGTTGTTAGGTGTGGATAATTAGATTATAGTTTATTGCAATAGCAAGTTGTGCCTTGTTCTCAGATAGACAGCAAGTGGAGAGTGATATATGAAATGATGCGATGGAAGGAAGAAGAGAAGCAAAGAGTGATTCACAGGCAGAGCCTAAATTATTTCTCACAGTTTTTTGTTGCCTTATGGTTCCAAGCGCTGTCACCAATCTTTGCATTTTGTTATTATATCATGACACTTGTTTAATCAGCTACCATCTCTCCTGTGGACTTTTTAATGTCTACAGTCTCAGATAAACACAGCCCTGCCCTTCCCATATTAGATTCTTGATGAATGTGTGTTGTTGTTATTCAGCCTGGTTCAATGTGCCCCTTTTTAACTTTGAGCACCCGCCCCTTTAAACCTCTCTGCACGGCCCTGCACAATACACATCCTTTTGAGGTCCAAGTTGAAGATAAGCTTTGTGAAATCACTGAAATAAGTCAGACTTGTGCATGCATGTCAGTGTAAGCTGGCTTGCAATTAGACCAGAAAAGGCTTTGATGCAGCAGGTGTGTTATGTGGAAGCAAGTGGGATAGACAGCCTTGATCAAATTCAAATTCAAATGTTATTTGTCACACGCACACACACACACACACACAATACGATATGTGGAGAAATGCTTATTGCTGTGCAATGCCCATTAAACGACAGTAAAGAATTTACAGATAATGACAAAATTTACAGATTTTACCTTAGAAATTTACAGTAAAAAAGAATGTGCAAATAATGATTTAAGAGAGAGATTATAAGAAGTGTGCAAATAAACAGAGTGTGTGCGGTGATGTGATGTATGAGAGTCCAGTCCTACACCTGGTTCAAGTCCCAAATAGCCTGGGGGACAAAACTCCTCTTTCACTCTGTTTTGGCCTTAAGGGAGCAGAAGCGCTTCCCAGACCTCAACAGTGAGAAGAGTCCATTGTTGGGATGGGAGAGGCCCATCATGATCTTCCTGGCTTTGTTCTTGCACCACTTGGTGTAGATGGACAGAAGGTCAGAAAGCGCTGATTGATTGGATGCATTCGGCCGAGTGCATCACTCTTTGCAGATCTCGTCTGTCCTGCTTGGTGCTGTTCCCAAACCAGGTGCAGATGTTTCAGGATGCTCTCGATGGTGCAGGAGTAGAACTTCTTAAGCACCTAAGTCTTCTGGGGAAGAAGAGACACTGGCAGGCTTTCTTAACCAGGGTGTTAATGTGACAGGTCCATGATAGGTCCTGAGTGATGTGGAGACCCCTGGTACCGGAAACTGTCCACTCTCTCCACTAGGTGTACAAAGCAGATAAGGCTAGTTTAGCAGATGAAAGGAGCACAAGCTTGGCTCTCAAAAATAACAATGTGGAATTGATTAAAAACAAACAAACAAAAAAACATGGATGTCCATTTGTGATCACAACATAGGTTTCATTTAGTTTGGTTTAGTTTTAAATATAGCCGGGGATCGGCTCACCAGGGCCTCCGTTCTTGGCCGCCACCTGACACACATTGCACCCGACCCCTACGGCGCCTCCTGCAGGTGGTGGGCCTATAGGAGGATGGGCCCATGTCCCTTTGTCGGACTGGGCTCCATGGCCACCAGACGCATGCTAACATCAGCTGCTTTCTGGTAGAGAGTACCATGTCCCCCCATGTTTTTAATGCACTTGGAATGCTGGGCCTCCCTGCTGCAGGACCGGGGGTGGTCTGCTTGTCTCCACTCCACAGCAAACATTTCCTGGGTCTGGGGCTGGATTGACCCTCTGGGAGTGTCTATGTGTCAGGTCAAGTCTTAGACTCCACCTCTCTGGGAACATCTCAGGCTCCCCTATGTGTGGGGGCCTATCTCCCCCCACTACACTCCCTGCCAATGGCTGATACCCTCAACCCTTGGTGCATTGGTGGTTTTCGGTGTCCGGGGCTGGGTGCATGGTGCTCACTCCCGGTGGTTGCTTGGCAGGGCCTGGCGCCCATGGCTCGGTCAGGGCCCTTTCGGAGGGCTATGGCTCCCCACATTTACTTTCAGATAATTATATGGAGAAATCTTTGGAATACAAGCGCGCTAACGCACACAGGTGTGCACAGACACACACCATCTTCCTTGGATGCTGCCTCAAAGCATATCGTGCGTTGTCGATTTTGTGTGCTTAATTTAAAATTTATTTTAAAATTGTAAAAGTAATTTTAAACATTTTACTCAGTAATGTGTACTGAGGACCTTCACCTTTTTTAGCTGAATATGGAAACCACTATACCAGAGGTGTCAAACATACGGCTCACCTGTATATTTTATATAACATAAAATAAACTATATACAAAGATGCAGAAACGTGTGCACTGAAAAACAGACAAGATGTTAGATTTACATAAATTAAGTAGTCGACATTGGTTGCACACAGATGTTCTGCTTTTTGAAGCAACTCAACACAAGTTACACAAACAAAGTGCAATTGCAGTAAATTCATCAAAGACGCTTAAATAAATCCAAAAGATGGCCAGTCTCCATTTTTCACTGTACATGTAGCACAGAGCTGTGGCTCAGTGTCTGAGTGTCTGAATGAGTCTCACAGGTCTGAATGTGTGCTTAAAGCCATTTATAATTCCTAACTTGTTTGATCTGCTGCTCACCACAAACAAGCACAAGCATACATTTTGAACATTTTACTGTATATTTATAGGTTTTACAGTTTTTACTACTGATAAAAAGTTCCCTTATGGCCACTCATACTCCACAAAGTAATTAAGGAATAAACAATTACAAAACAAAAAACAACAATTTTCACCTTTGAAAAAAATGTAATGAATTCCCTCTTACTTTGGCAGTTTGGCACTTCCTCTACAGCTCTAACTCTCAGTGTGTTTTGATACCAGTTTCCCATCAATAATCTCTATTTTTGGCATTATTCGTTTGCTTATTACAAACCAGTCGTGTACAGTGTTGTTTTTTCTTAGTTTTTGTTCCCAAAAATGTGTCTCTAATAAAACCTCTGTAACTTTGTGAAAATAGGAAAAGTTTTTGTTTTTCACTTTCTGCTATAGAAATTTCTAGAGTTTTCTAAGGGATCCTCGAGGTCATCTTACACACCTTACACAATTAAATAAAGTAAACAAAAAACCCCAACTATAACGTTTTTCAAGCTAACAATAGTCTAAAACCAAGTTAGAATAAAGTTGACAGTTAATTATATCAAAAGAAGAGGACAATTATTGATGAAGATTTGCAATTTTGGTATTTAAAAAGCCCCATAAATTCATTACAGACTGCAGCAGAGAGTGAACGTATATGGTAACGATATCTAGTACAAGTGTTTCCTTCAGCTCACAGAATAATAGTAGTGTAGCAAGCACATTTAGCATGAGAAATAGCTTCTTTCCTATTGTGTTGTTTATGACTGAGATACATGTCCTTATGAATAGTAAGTCGAGTTTTTCTGAAGAGACATTCCAGGCGATGGCCAATAGCTTTAAGCTGGCAAAATTCAAATGAATATCAAGGGACAGAATGGGGGAAGGAAAAGTTTGAGTTTTCTGAGGAGCCAAGGTATCTAAGAGTTTGACAAATCCATTGTTATAGTGAGATACCAAGTCATTTGTGGAAGCTGAAGCATCTATGGCCATTAAATTATCAATGCAAGGGGAAAGAACTGATAAATCAATGCCTGTAATGTTTCTAAAATTAAGAAAGCATGTTAGATTACCTTTGTACAGTTGGAAACCAACACCGAATGAAACTAAATTATGATCTGAAAAAGATTTGTCTGATACAGCATAGTTCATCGCTCAGACTCCAGTACAACAGATAAGGTCTAAAGTATGTCCTTTGGAGTGTGTGGGAACATGTATTTATTAGTCTAAGCCAAAATTCTCCAGATAGGAAATATAAAAACATTTTTTAATTAATTTGATGCTCTGTCCATGTGGCTATTAAAATCTCCCAGCAATGTTATATTTGGAAAGTAAAAAGTAAAATTACGACACGAGCTTTTGGTAAGTAGTTGTTGGTTTTGTGAAGCAACCGATGACGGGGTAACTCTCATGACTAACTCAGATTCCCTGTGGTTACGGAGGAAGAAAGGAGCTTTCCAGAATGCATATGATAATTTTTCTCAAGGGATACTAATGTCCTTGCATTATATGCAATGACCTTCTGTTACGACTGTGGCCATAAGAAGTCTGTATGAGCTGCTTTGTTTCTGTGTCTGTGCTGTGCTTAAGACCCTGTGCAGGTCCTTCCCCTAATGAAGAGTAGTGAGCTGCTGATTGGACCGTGGAACAGGTGACTGCGTTCAAAAAGCCGCTCTGACAGCTCCCGGGAGAGAGAGAAACGAGCGAGCAGTTTTAAAAGCAGAAGCAGAACCAGCCCTGGTTTCCAACTTTTTGCATTTCTTGGTATCTGTGTAAACGTGCTCTGTCAGAGCCGCCACTGGTGTAAACTCAGTGCTTATGTATGCATAGGCTGAAGCGGAAGGGGTGAGCCGCCTTTTTCTTTCGAACAGTTTTCTCCTGTTTTGTGGGCTAGGAAGTGAGGGATAGTATTGTCATTTGTTTGTTTTGTTTCTATCTTAGGGTTTAGTTAGTTTCCTCTAGTGTGACTTAGGTGGTTTTGTTTATTATTTTAGCCTGGGTTGCTTCCTGACATTAAATAAAATCACCTTTTTTACTCATAACTGGTTTCGAATGTTTGGCTTGGGAACCAGGGCAGGTACTTGCCTCTCTCTCCTCCAACCTTATGTGCGTCTCTATACGCCTAGACTAGGGGCGTAACACCTTCATCTTGGCTGCTTGTTTCTGATAAAACAGCTTCCAGGCACTGCTGTGAGGTGGGGTACAAAGGGCTCTGAAAAATCATGGTAATCTAGAATGGGTGCCTGTGTTAGATAGTTTGTCAACTGGTTTAGGGCATCTTGATGACTCTCAGTCCATCCAAGTTCTTCTTAAGACCAGACCCATTCTGGCTGGTCAAACTAGTGAATGGCAATTTCTGTCCTTCTGTTCTGTCTCCTCAATGTGACAAAAGGTCCGTAAGTCTTTTCTCAGAGTCATTCTGGTGCTTCAAACACTGCAGACTGACTTGCTTCTTTCTCACTTATTCTAGCAGCACTTTAAACTGGATGTGTGAATGTGTGATGTGTGCATTCATTAACTATTTTCAACCGTGTTGCTGTATCATCAGCTGTATCATCAAGTCATATCAAGGTCATGATTTTACAGTGAAGTTCAAAATTATTATTTAATACGCTTCCACCTGCAGAAAATGTTCCACCCAAGGACTGACATATAGTGCTTTTGTACTTTCCCTGAGTAATTCAAAGCACTTTAAACAACATGCCTAACTCAGCTATTCACCCCAGTGCTTTTTTCTATGCTTGAGGGCTTTCTATTTAATATTCCCACACATTCATACTCCAGTAGATGTATCAGGGAGCCACTTGTGGTTAGCATCTTGCCCAAAGATATTTGGCATGCAGACTGAAGCAGCCAGGTATCGAACCACCAATCTTCAGATAAGTACAATCATGCCAGGTGTCATAGGGCAAATAGTGGGGTAAACCCCAGACAGATCATCAGTCTGTTATAGAGATCCAGACAACCAGACACACTCATACCTTCTGCCAATTCAGAATCACCCATTTACCAAAGCCCATGTATGTTTTTGAACTGTACGGGGAAGCTAGAAAACCTGAAGAGAATCAATGCAAACACAACAAGAACATGACAACACCACCAAGATTCAAACCCAGGACCTTCTTAATGTGAGACAGCTATAATGACCATGTGCTGTTATTAGTTTAAACAAAAAATGTTCAATCATGTTAGTTGTTGTTCTCTGTAATCACAGGTTAACCGTTACCTCACACTGGCAGTCTTTATGCTAACCGTGTACATGGTATCTTATTTTTTCCTTCATCAGAAATTGACTAAAAACTGAGAACGGACCTCAGCAGCTGCTCATAGCTGAGCACTCATAACAAATAGAGAATTTGTATTTGAGGGTGGCTGTGGTCCGTAACCTCTGCGAATACCAGAGGTCGACTGTAAGGACATAAATGAGGGTGAAATCATCTTGTCATCTAAATCGTTGATACAAGGTGCTAAATATGTGTTTTGATAAGATCAACAAAGATAAAGTTTGTGTGACTGCTTTACATTAAGTTTAAAAAAAACTTACATGAGTTTGAATATAAAAATATGCATTATCTGTTCATACAAATATACTGTATTTACCTCTCCAGAATCAAATTTGACACCTTGTCACCAGGACTATACTAAATATGTACACGGACATCTGAAGTACACATTCGTGTTACTTGTGCAAATACATCATGTTGGAAATCAAAAAATATAACAAAAAATTACAGGATGAGTACAGCAAGCAACAGCTGGATTAAGATATAGAGTTTTTTGGTCTATTAAGCTTTGTTTGTAAATCAAGGGTTTCTGCAAATTTCAGGCCAATAAGCTTAACTGAGGTTATACAAAGAATAGAAAAAAAGGCTAAAACAGGTTTTTGATGTTGAGATCTTCACAGTCATGGCTAAAAAGCTAGAACAGGTGAATTTAATATTTAGGGCAGCTAATAAATTCTTACACTACATAGAAAATATTCAAATTGTTGAAATTCTAAAATTTTAACATTAGAAGACAGTTTTAAGGGATCATCTTAGAATGTTTATAAACAGTGTTGGGGAGTAACGGAATACATGTACCGCCGTTACGTATTTAAAATACAAAATATGAGTAACTGTATTCCGTTACAGTTACCGTTTAAAAAGGTGGTATTCAGAATACAGTTACTTTGTTGAAATAAATGGATTACACTGCGGTACTTTCCTGTTTCATATTGTCGCGGGTCAGGACTGTTTGGGTTTTGTTTGACAGCTACGTTCTTTTGTTCCAGGCGGCAGCGTTACGGTTGCTATGGTTACAGGGAGACGCTCTCTCTCTCTCTGCGACTGTGTGTTTCCTGGGTGAGAGAGCGCCTTTTCGTTGTTGTTGTGCTAAGCTAACAGGCAGAATGCTACAAGCATAGCTCTAAAGAATGTAGCATCATGGGCAGTGTAGTCCGTGCTGCAGGGAGAATGGACTGCCATACACGTTATGTGTCTGTGAGCGCCAGGAGGGAGAAAAAGGGGAGTGGAAAGGTACGAGTTGTCATCGAGGAAAAACGGGAGCTGGAAGCATGTAAATATAATAATAACCACTGCAGCCAAGAAGAGAGCCTGACGAGCCCAGTTGTAAGTAAGCTATTAAGACTCGACTGTACACCGTGTTCGTGTTTTCCTCCGAAAACAATAAGTTCCGTTGGAGCAGCCTTTCAACGCCTCTCTCTGTCTCTTGCAAGAAAAGTTGACCCACACAACAAAGTAAAGCTATTTTTCGGCTACAAGCCGACAGGGACCCCGCCGTATTAGTCAGAGGTCCCTTTACTACAGTTCGGAGTCGCGGACCTTCAGTAATAGTAATAAATCACACAGCAATAGTACATTCACGTTGTTGTAAAAAGCATGATAATATATTAAGTAATTCAAAGTATTCAGAATACGTTACTGTCATTGAGTAACGTAACGGAATACGTTACAGAATACATTTTAGGGCATGTATTCTGTATTCTGTAATGGAATACATTTTAAAAATAACCTTCCCAACACTGTTTATAAAGTATGCATAAACCCACCCATGGCCGACATCACCTACTGCGAAGCCTCAAGCTGAGCTATTTTGCCATTTTGGTCTGGGTGTTTTAAAACTGGGCACCATGAACATGTTGCAGATCTGACTGAGAAACTGAGCCCAATCAGAAGCAAGCAACTTGTGAATCTCATGATAAAGATTACCCTGCTTTACCCTTGTTTTGACTCTAATGTACATGATTATTTACAAAGTCATGTGTGTTCAGTATTTTAAACTTGAACCTAGCAATTGAGGCCATAAACACATCAGAAAGGTTTTAAGGTCATGAGGTCAAACAGCAAGGAAGCCACAGACCTCCATACAAGATCGCACCTTTGCAACAAAAGCAGTCTCCTCCTGTTGGCCATTAGAAACAAAATTCATGTCTAAGTGGCTTCCACAATGGCATCACCTTTCAGACCCAGAAGGCAAGTCTACCTTTTATATCTATATAAAAGGCATCTATATATTTTTATATTATGTAGTATGTTACAATTACGGGAAACCAAGCTAACTAATTAAACCTATTGGCCAAAAGATTTTTTGGTTGCAGTTGTATTTTAGGTCAAGTTATTATCAATGATGATGAACTGCTGATAGTCAAGATACATTCTCATAGTTGTCCTCTTCATCATCACTACTTTCTTCTTCTTCATCATTATGTACACCAAGCGAGGGTGGGGATACATTCTCATAGTTGTCCTCTTCATCACTAGTTTCTTCTTCATCATCATTATCTACACCTGGTGGTGGTGGTGGTGATACATACAGCGAGGGTGGGGATACATTCTCATAGTTGTCTTCTTCATCACTAGTTACATCATCTTCATCTTCTCTGTGATCACTTACACTCACATAGGCCTTCATGCAATTGGGGCCTGCTTTCTTGTAATCATGATCATCATTACACACTGGCTCCTCATAGTCATTGCTTCCCTCTTCATCCACTCCTGCAGCTCCCCCTTTCATTTTTACATTAGTGTCCATTAGATCAACATTCACATAGTCCTGCGCATCGTCTTCATCACCCTCACTGTCTCCCCACTGGTAAGCATTCCCGACTTGGTCAACAACTGAAACACAAGTAAGGGAAAACAATGTCAATATGTAGTCAAACTATCTGATGAATAATTGCCTAAAATTTGTGAGCACACACTTTGACTGTGGATGAAAGCTAGAGGCTCCTTGGCTCGTCGTTGTCTTCTCCTGATGAGAACCACTAACAGCAGCAGCAGGAGCAGCAGCAGGATTCCAACAGCTACCGAGGACAACAGCAGCATCAAAGACACTAGAAGGACAGCATTCGATCAGTTTGATGAAAAACTTCCCTGGTGTAATGAGTTACGTCTTAGTTAAGTTGCTAATCTAGAGCAGTGTTTCCCAACCACTGTGCCGTGGCACAGAGTTGTGCCGTGAGAGATCACCAGGTGTGCCGTGGGAAATTATTTAATTTCAATTAATTGGTCCAAAAAATACAATTTAATAATTGCTACAAATAATAAAATCATTGTTGGGCATCTGTCCTTTCAACGCAGTGACTGGTAGAGTAATTACCCTTTCATGTCAGTGGGTGGCGGTGAATGAAGGAATGAATGAAGCCTTTATTTGTCACTTGCAGTTGCCTGCAGTGAAATTGGAGCCCTTCTGACCAACATACATTACACAAACATTCCAGAGGATGGTGGAGTCAAAGAGGAGGTACTGCCTCTGGACTAGGGATGGGTACCGGTGTCCGGTGCCATCATGGCACCGGTTCTGACATAAACGGTAGTAACCAGACCGAAAAGCAGCGCACATTTCGGTGCTTTATTTCGGTGCTTTTTTTTCCTGA